CACACACACACACACACACATATATACAAATGCAAAAACAAGCCCTCCACACACACACACACACACACACACACACACACACACAAATGCAAAAACAAGCCCTCCACTGTCCTCTGAGGTTACCCTAACCTGGGTGCATTTGTGTGAGAACAAGTTCAAGGCACAGTTGGAACACCTTAGTAGGTGTGGCCACTCAGGCCTCACCTCTGCAGACCGCTCTCCCTCCTCCTGGGGAGGGGAAGAAAGGTTTCTGGGCCCTGTGAGAGGGAACGGCAGGAGGGCAGGAGCGTTTGAGTGGGAAACAGCAGAGGAGAGAGCTGGAGAGGGTGAGGCTTTCCTGAGGGGCTTTGTCAGGTAGGCCTGAGAACAAACCTGGTCTCCAGATTCCCCCACAGTCCCCTGGAGATTGGGGTGATGAGTTAGGAAACTATAGTAGAAGTAATAGAAACTGAAAAGAAACTATCTGTCATATCCCCATGACTTTTTTTATTTCTCAGAGAGTCTCACTCTTGTCGCCCAGGCTGGAGGGCAGTGGCGTGATCTCGGCTCACTGCAACCTCCGCCTCCCAGGTTCAAGTGATTCTCCTGCCTCAGCCTCCCAAATAGCAGGGGTTACAGGCGCATGCTACCATGCCCAGCTAATTTTTGTATTTTTAGTAGTGACGCGGTTTCACCATATTGGCCAGGCTGGTCTCAAACTCCTAAACTCAAGTGATCTGCCCACTTTGGCCTCCCAAAGTGTTGGGATTACAGGCGTGAGCCACCACACCCTGCCATATCCCCACGACTTTCTAGGTCATTTTTTTCCCAAGCGGTTTTGCACACAAAAGGGCCGTTTTGATTCCAGTTAGCCCAGGCAGCTCCTGGGTTATCCACCATGCTCTCCTGCAGCCCCGCTTCTCCCCCATGGGAGGGCTCTCATTTGCTTCCCACATGGGAGGAGTGCAGAAAGAATTCATTCTGAAGACCCATTCTCCCTGCAGTTGGAAAGAGCAGATTGCCCACTCATGTCTTGCAGTGCACGCTTGGAAGGCCACTGCTTCGCTCCCACCGGGAGGCCAGTGCTAGGGAAAGGGCCCCCACTGTGTGAGTGGCCGCATTTTACAGTGGCTGCCTCTATAGGAAATGCTCTGAAGGGATTTTGGAAACCATGGGGTATCCAACAAATGTTTCAAAGTACATGCTTCACTTTCAGTGAGCATAAGCTTTGTAACCCCTGATATATAGATCGGAGTCTGAATATGCTTAGATCTCAGAATGGAAGGGTTTCTAAAGAAAAACTCCAGAAATACCCGAATTCAGACGTAAAAAAATGTGTGAGAATCAAGAACAAAGCCAGCGAAAGCAGGAGTGAATAACCTTTCATTTCAAGCTGCTTTCCCCACTAGAGACAGTCATGATCTGTGCAGCGCTATTTGATGCAAATGCCTCTCAGAAAAGAGCCAGTGGATAATAGATAAAAAGATTATCTGTGACATTATGAAAAATGAAAGTTTAAAAATGGCTACAAGTCCCATAAAAAAAAAAATCCTAAACTTTATTCAGTCTTGTTGAAAGGCAGCAGCGGAACTGTGTTTTGTCCAGCCCCTGGGGTCCCTGCCTCTTCCGCCATTGTTCTAATACCTTCCACCGGCTCATCTGTTTTCAAAAATCTTTCCTGCTGCTTTCTCTTTGCTGGAAACATAAGGTCCAAGAAGCTATCACAGCCCTGTTTCTTTTCCCTAACTGGACTCTGATGCTGGGAATTCAAGTGCTGCAACTCCTGCCCCTCTCTCTTCCCTTCCCTGTCGTCCCCCTCTGTGCTAAACCACCGACTGCACACTTGATTTAACAGATGAATTACAGATTCAAGGCATGGGTTTCCAGGGCAGGAAAGAGTCTGATTTTTGTCCAGGTCTCTCTTGATTGGCTCAGCATGGAAGTCTTTCATTTAACGGGCCAGGTCCTGCTGAGAACACCTCTGCTGGCACCACACCGATTTCTTTCTTTGCTCGAAAGAGGAGCAGATCCTAAAGAGAGATTTTCCATCTTGCAGATTTCTGGTGTGCTCACTACATAGCATTCCTTTTAAGCAGAGCATTATGAGTGTAACCCAAGACTCCAGGAAACATTTGATTCATTTGACCAATCATCTTTGATCTCAAAGTTGGCCGAGGTGTTGCTGAAGAACCTATTTGAACACCTAGGCCACAAAAATATGCCTTTGTCTCCTACCCGAGGAGACAGCACAGTGCAGCAGTTCAGTGTGAGGGTATAGAAGGGACCACCTGGCTCAAACTCCAGTTCTGGCATCTGCTAGATGGGTGGACTTGGAGCAAGTTTCAATGTCTGAATTTCTCTATTTACAAACAAATACAGTAAGATTATCAGATTGAACCACATACAACTGCTAATATTTGGCTGTTTTTGATTATAAAAAGATTATTAGATTGGACCACATACAATGACCAATATAAAAATGGCAGTTTCATATGGGTCATCCTAATACCCACCTCCAAGGGTGACTTTGAGATGGAAAGAAGAAAGTCACATAAAGTGCTGTACCAAAATGCCTGGGATGCAGCGTATGCTGAGCACAAGTTACTATTGGTGTTATTATCGAGGAGCTTATAGGAATCACTTGCTGTATACAGATCACCTGTATATAGGTGCTGCAATGTGAAATACTCAGATCAGTCACCTACTTGCCAAGGACCATCTAGGCCAGGTGATGCAGTGCTAACAAACATCACTAAGGGTGGAGAAAGATGGCCACTCAGTCCAAACTCTTCGTGTCTCATTTCCTCTTGAAAAATCCCTTCCTGGGCAGGTGTGGTGGCTCATGCTTGTAATCCCAGTACTCTGGGAGGCTGGGATGGGAGAATCTCCTGATCCCAAGAGTTCAGGAACAGCCTGAGCAGCATAGTGAGACCCTATCTCTACAAAAGTTAAAAAATTAGCCGGGTTTGATTTGCAGTGGTTTTGAGAAAAAAAAAATTAGCCAGGCATGGTGACACGTGCCTGTAGTTCCAGCTGCTCGGGAGGCGGAGGTGGGAGGGTTGCCTGAGCCCAGGGGGTTGAGGCTGCATGAGCTGTGATAGCACCACTGCACTCCAGCCTGGTAACAGAGCAAGACTCTGTCTCAAAAAAGAAAAAAGAAAAATCCCTTGCCATATGGAATGCTGCTCCCTTCCCATTCGGGGGCAATTTTACCCATTCCTGGTGTCTTTTATAAGCCAGTTGGTATGACTGGAATTAGATCTAAACTACTCAAATGGAGATTACAAAAATATTCTTGAAAACAGATATCGACCTAAGACTGTGCATCACACTTTGTGCCTCTGTCCTTTGTTTTCTGCAAGTAGTGATGAGAAAGTGTCCAAGTTATTGCAATTGCTGGAGTAAGAGTAAGGCAGGGAAATTATGAAAATCTGTGGACAAGTGCTGACCTCAAGCACAGGAATAGTTTAAGTGTCATCCTGCAAACTGAATGGGACTGAACAGCAGGGTCTCCAGAGGCAAATCCACCCAGAACGCAAACACGCAGCTAGCTTTCCCACCCATGCAAGCCTCAGCTGTGAGAACTGGAGAAACATGAGCGCTGTGGGCAGGCATCCTGTGCTTTCTGGAGTGCCTGTCTACCAGTGCTATCCCAGAGCTTGTCATGCTCCCAATCACATCACTTCCCGTGGCAATTCTTGAGGTGCTTGACCCTAAATAGAATCCTTTCCTTCCTTACATGCCCCCCGACAAATACACTTCCTTACTTTAATGAAACCATTCTCCATTGGCCTCATTATAATTATCCTGAAGACATGTTTGCTTCTTTTTTTTTTTTGAGACAGTATGTTGCTCAGTCACCCAGGCTGGAGTGCAGTGGCACGATCTCAGCTCACTGCAACCTCCACCTCCCAGTTTCAACAGATTCTCCTGCCTCAGCCTCCTGAGTAGCTGGGACTACAGGTGCATGCCACCATGGCCAGATAATTTATTTTTATTTTTAGTAGAGACGAGGTTTCACCATGTTAGCCAGGATGGTCTCGATCTCCTGACCTTGTGATCCACCCACCACAGCCTCCCAAAGTGCTGGGATTACAGGCGTGAGCCACCGCGCCCGGCCTGCTTCTTTTTAAATTATGAAATATTTTTGGACTACAGGAAAAGTGTAGGACAACATAATAATACAGGTAAGGAAAACCTGCAGAGCCACCTACAGCTCGAGAAATACGTATTTCAGATACCCCCCCCGAGGGTACACATTTACCAATTTGATATTTATCATGCAGGGTATGGTATTTAGACTTTTGCTATATTTGTACATAGATACAAACACTATGTAGCATTGTTCTGTGTGTTTTAAAACTGTATTTCAGCTGGGCACAGTGGCTCACGCCTATAATCCCAGCACTTTGGGAGGCTGAGATGGGAGGATCACTTGAGGTCAGAAGTTTGAGACCAGCCCAGCCAACAAGCTGAAACCCGGTCTCTACCATAAAATTACAAATTATCCAGACACGATGGCACATGCCTGTAATCCCAGCTACTTGAGGGGCTGAGGCAGGAGAACCGCTTGCACCCGGGAGGTAGAGGTTGCAGTGAGCTCTGGGCAACGGAGCAAGACATTCTCTCCAAAATATAAATAAATATATAAATACATAAATAAAACTTTATTTCATTGGTTTTGTTCCACATGTAGCCTCCTACAACTTTTAAACAAGAGATTCTGATTCACTGGGCCCACTAGGGTTTGTTATTTGCCTTGAACAAACTGGCTAGATTGCAGGTAATAGGGAGGGTAATCATATCCTGCAGAATTCAAACTTGGATACTTTTAAGAGTGAAGATATCCATAGTTAACAAGTACAGCAGGCACAGATTTGGGTGGGTTGAGGCAAACCAGGACCTACGGTCACCTTGGTGATGGCAGGTCAGCTCCTGCGTTAATACCCACGGTGGGTATGACTGACTAGAAGCCTCTTCCATCGCCGCATCCGATAGGCCTCTCAGAATGAATCCATTTGTTTGTGCCTCTTTTGGCAGAGAAGTCATTAATGAGAACCTCAGTTTCCTTGTCAGTCACATGGGCACTCTGGAAGAGGAGGGGGAGGGCGGCTCTAGTGACCCTCCTGAGGCTGCTCTGTGACAGGCCTGTGTTGTAAAGTGCTCTGAGCACAAGAAAACACCAGCAGCCCCACGGAAAGCCACGGCACCCCCAGAGGACCCGAGCCTCTTTTCTGTGTCAGACCAGCTGTTTCCACAGCAGGGCAGGGACAGTTTGCCCCTGCGGGACCCCCAAAAGTTGACTGGTCAGGGCTTTCCAGTGCTTTTTCACACAGCATCTTAATTGGCCTGTTTCTATGGAAATGAGCTTACTGCTAATCAGGTTTTCTCTCAGCTCCCAACTGGTTACCAATGCACCCCTCAGATCTGAAACAGAGCTGAATTAGATGCTTGCTAAGTGAGTAAACAGGAGCCAAAAAGAGTATCAGAGGAGTTAGTAATTTTGGTTTCCCTTTGAAAAAAGAAATCAGACACTGAGCTTACTCAACACCTTGAAAAGTTGGGTACAGAGGCGCAAGGAGAACCTACGTGCTCCTGGCTGGGTGAGGCTAGGCTTCCCCCTGTGTGCCAGAGCTTCTGGAACACAGACAGAGCCAGAGAAACAGTAGAGTTTTCAGTCACTGCCCCAGCACACGCCCTTCGTGGCTGGCAGGACGAGGGATTCCTCCTGTGTGCCCTCCCTTCCTTCTCACCTCCCTGGAACAGGGGCCTGTGCTGTGCAGGGGTGCTCAGGACCTGCACTAGGAATGGCACTCTCGGCTTGTCTCTATACTGCCCCCGGGCTGGCTCAAGTTCGCTGGCGGCTGTGGCTGAAGTCGCAGCATGCCACCCAAGATGCCTTCTTTATTCTGGCTCTGTATTTGGGCATTAGGATGCACAGCCCTTTTATCAAGGGTTGTTCCCCCTCCTAAATTGCATTTGACCAGTTTCATTTCTGCCTGAAATTAAAACACAGAACTTATAAATCCCAAGCTGTCACAGCGTGAATGAAACCTTAGAAATAAATCCAGTCTAATGACAGAGCGATCCGGAGACCGCAGTGGGAAACAAGATACTTTGTTTAATAATTATCAGCCTGCTTTCAGGGCCTGTCTGCTAAAGCAGTGGTGTCAGAAGCTGCACAGAGAAGAATTTTTTCCCCAGATTTCACCCTGGGAAAGACTGAAGCCATTTAAAACCAGACTGGACGCTTTTGATTTACATTTCTGATATTAAATGCAGAGCGGCTGTCTGCATTTATGCTACAGGGCACTACTTGAGTGCAAAGAAACAGGGTGGTGGCAGAGATCCAGTTTCCTAATGAACAAGCTTATCTGGAGGAAAACAGCTTTTCACACCGTAACAAACAATGAACACCTCTTAGATAACAAATTCAACGGCAAAAATATAGCATTGTACATGTCACAGTCCCGTAATTTAATGGAGGCACTTGCAGCATTAGTGGTTTACATTAATTTTTAAAATTAATTTTGTTTGGCCCGCAGGGAAAATATTTTCATTTTTGTTTCTGATATCCTGCAGCTCATTAACACTGCTCACCGCTGCTCTACAGAGCTATCCATAATCGTCCACTTGGTAGCCAGAGGCCATTTGTAAAAGAAGAAAGCTGGGAGACGGGCAGAAGGCAGGCTTTTTTGCTTTCTTCCACAAAGAAAGGCTTGCCCAGATGGACAGAGCTGCTCGGCAGAGGCCTGAATCGTGCAGCGTGGGTTTCAGCGGTCATGGTGCCTGGAGGGCAGCCTCGGAGGGGCCCAAAAGGCCGCTTCTTCACTCACTCACCACCACTCCCCCCCCAAGCAGAGTCTCCCAAAGCTGGTGACTATCAGAATTACCTGGGCAGGTTCTGCAAAGGTGTAGATTACTAGGCCCCACCTCACACCCATCATTCACTTCCTCTGCCTCCGCCCCCTCCCATGAAAGAGTTAACGACTACTTAGAAAACAGGCCCCCTCTCCCTCTGCCTGGGGCAGGGAGATCAGGGAATTCACTGCTAATCACTGTGGTTGTGATTTCTGATTTCAACTGGCAGCAAAGAGAATTGAACTGGGGTCCCCAGAGAGCAGCCGCTCCACAAGGCAGACCTTGAGCTTGTTAGGCTGTGGTGCTGCCATGCGATTATCAATTAATCTCCCCAGTCTCTTTAAAGTGGCTGCTAAAAATATAATCTCTGGGATATCTTACCTTAAGACTTAACTAAAGGGAAAAATCTGGATAATAATTAAGTGCTTCCCTCCGTCTAAGCTTCCTGTAAAACACTTCTGGAGACTTGGCTAGTCCATGGGCAGCAGGAAGACCAGCCAGGGGCGGTCCCAAGGCCTGAGTGAGCTGCTTATAAGTTACACACTTTCTCTAAATAAAACTTAAACAGGCAATGTGCGTTTGGACAAAAGGTTAAAGATACAGTACTACACTGTATTAAAACAAATCCTTCCCTATTTTTAACCCAAAGAAGTTTGGGAGGAAAAGCCAAAAAAAATTGTCTAGACATACTTTTGCTAAGCTCATGAGGGAGTCGTTACAAACTCACTTTATAGGGACATAATCTAGGTTATATATACAACACATTTTTTTTAAGGCAGCAACATGGGGGCACAATACGAACAAAAGTGAAAGGAGTTCTTATGCACAAGAAAAGGGCTCTCTGCAGAAACACCTCTGGCCCTGTAGAAGGCTCAAGCCAAAAGCAGACACATTTTCCTAAAAGCTGCTAAGAACGATGAAGAGGAAAATGAACAGCAATTCATTAACAAAGCTCAGCATTCTACCCACGCTCTGCAGCTTTCTGCTACGTGAAAAGATGCTTCTGTACCTTGAATTCTGTGAAGTGGTAAGTCCCAAGCTTCCCCAGAGGGGAAAATACCTGTGGTATTTTCCTTTCCTCTTCCCCTGACCTTCCTATGTCTTTGGGCAACATGGTGGGAAGGGGTAACTTAAAGCAAGAGCTCTGAACAAATATACATGCTCTCTGCGTGTAGCCATGCAGGTTGGAGAATGCAGGCTCCTAGAGGGCCCAGTGGGATCCCACGCTCTAGGCCTCAGCCTGAAATATGGGATGCTTTGTATACTCAGCTTGACGTGGAAGGAAGGGTGGGAAGGAAGGGAAGGAGAGGGCGTTGAGGGAGGCAAGGGTGTGAGTCTGAAAAAGGCAAGGCAGCCTGTGAGGCTCTCCTAAAACCACACTGCCTTCTTTTAATGATAATGATAAGGAAAACCCCCAACTTCATAAAATTCCATTAATTCTATAATTTCCTTTCTCTGATAAGAGCAAAGAATAAAACAACTCATTACCTCTACTACCACTAGACGTTTGACCTTGAAAAAAAGACTTAACATCTCTGGTTTAAAAAAAAAAGTGGGTTGGGTAAGACAAGATCTAAAATTCTGATTTTATTCTTCTGGCTGAAAGAAAACAAAACAAAATGAAGCAAAACCTTACTATATACAGGCCAAAGCTCAATTTTGGCCTCACCTTTGACTAAATGACAAAAAATTAGAATGGAGAATGGTAAGATAGACATTTTACCGTGTGAACAATATAAAATATAAAGGACTTTAGGAAAAAGTCAACTACATGACATTAAAAAAATGCCTGAATCAAGATGAAATAAAAGTCACTTTTATACTCATGGAAGGCTCCCTAAACCTTGGTGAATGGAAACATGGCTTCCTAGGAACCAGGTCTGTCTTTGTTAAGCCTAAAGTTAGATGGGAGAAGGGGGTCAGGTGGGTAAAAGTACTGTGGTGGGTAACAAACGGTGTATATTTCCAAAGTGACTTGTGCATAGTCTCTGTTAAGAGCCCAATGAAGCTGGGCAAGGTGGCTCACGCTGTAATCCCAGCGCTTTGGAAGGCTGAGGTGGGCGAATCATGAGATCAGGAGTTTGAGACCAGCCTGACCAACATGGTGAAACCTCATCTCTGCTAAAAATACAGAAAAAATTAGCCAGGCGTGGTGGCATATGCCTGCAATTCCAGCTACTCAGGAGGCTGAGGCAAGAGAATCGCTTGAACTCGGGAGACGGAGGTTGCAGTGAGCCAAGATCGTGCCACTGCACTCCTGCCTGGGCGACACAGTGAGATTCCGTCACAAAACAAACAAACAAACAAACAAACAAACAAAACAGGTGGGAGGTTGCTCAGGCTGGAGTGCAGTGGAACGAGCAGAGCCTGGACCTCCCTGGCTCAAGTTATCCTCCCGCCTCAGCCTCCTGAGTAGCCGGGACTGCAGGCACATGCCACCACACCTGGCTAATTTTTTTATTTTTAAAATTTTTTTGAAGCAAAGGGGTCTCACTGTGTTGTCCAGGCTAGCTTCAAACTCCTGGCCTCAAGTGATCCTCTTGTCTTGGCCTCCCAAAGTGCTGGGATTACAGGTATAGGCCACCACGCCCGGCCTCAACTATTTTTTGGTTTACAGATTCTTTTTTTTTTTTGAGACGGAGTTTCGCTCTTGTTACCCAGGCTGGAGTGCAATGGCGTGATCTCGGCTCACCGCAACCTCCGCCTCCTGGGTTCAGGCAATTCTCCTGCCTCAGCCTCCTGAGTAGCTGGGATTACAGGCACGCGCCACCATGCCCAGCTAATTTTTTGTATTTTTAGTAGAGACGGGGTTTCACCATGTTGACCAGGATGGTCTCGATCTCTTGACCTTGTGATCCACCCGCCTCGGCCTCCCAAAGTGCTGGGATTACAGGCGTGAGCCACCGTGCCCGGCTGGTTTACAGATTCTATTTGAAAACCTGATGAAAGCGAAGAACCTTCTTCTGATGTAAATGTACAAGCACACAAACAAAACTTTAAATACACTTTCAGCGGACTCCTGGGCTCCTTTAAAGTTCATCTGCAAATCTCGTCATAGCTATTAAGCACAAGGTAAAACTACTGTTCTGGACCTAGACGCTGGAACATCTATTTGTTCTTCCACCTGCCTTGAAGGTTTGTGGTGTTCCCACTTCCTCAAGAAAACATTTCTTTCTCAATGAAAACATAACCTGACTCTCCCCACACACCCAAGCAATTCTGCAGGGAGGCTGGTGCGTTCAGCTCAAGAGCGAAAGGTTGACAAGCAGAAGCCCTGCAGCCCTCCTGACCACCTTCAGATGTGGGGCTTGTATCCTGAGGCTGAACTCGGAACTCCTTCCACAGGAGAAAATTCCTGCCAGTAAATAAGTCTGTGTCCCCCTCCTATTAGAGACTGCCCTCTTTCTGACCTACTTCATCCACCCTTTTGACCTGCTTTCCTTCCTGAAGAACTAATAGGAAACATGGTACCTGGCGAGGGGGAGGACCGGCAGGAAGCAGCCCCCCTGGAATGTCAATGATGCTGGGACAAGCACACCGACCCCATTCCCATTCAGCAGGCAGCCACGCTAGTGCTCAGGGCACATCTGCATAGCTCAAGGTCAGGATGAAGTCAGACTGGCTTTCAGCCCCGAAACGCCAGTTTCAGGGTTGCAGGAGTGAAACTGTCTAGTACGTCTACTCTAATTGGCACTGGGCTACTGAATGATAAGAGATGAGAATGTGCTTTGAGGCCCAGTGCATTCCATTGAGTCAGTGCTGGTTACTTTCGAAGGCACCGTATTGTGGAGCCCCAAGTCGCTAAAATGGCTGGCTTTTAGAAGGCCTGTCTCCTGGCCTCGAAGACATCTCAGATGCTGTCCTGCTAACGGAATCAACTTCACAGCAGCCTGCTTCTCAGAGCAGTTGGTCATCCTCTATCTTCCTGCTTCTTCCAGGCTGATGATGAATCATGTTTGAAGTGGAAAGAAATGGTGGCTTAGGGGCAGATTCTCCCTGACTTCCTACTCCAGCCAATCTCCCAACTAAATGGGTCCAAAAACCTCTCCTCAAGAAAGTGATAAACGAGGCACTAAATCAGAGGAATTGCGAATCCAATCACTTAGCCTGAATGGAGAGAGCCTTACAAGATGAATTCCATCACATTAAATAGCTTGACTCATGTCAGGAGAAAGCAATCTACAAACCACTGCAAGAAAAGCTTGAAAAGATGATTTATTTTTGTACCTGCTCTGCCCTATCCCTGGGCAGGGTAGGCTTGAAACTCGTGTCTCCAGCATTGAAGATGACGGAATGGAGCGTTCCATGGGTAAACATGTGAACAAGATTGCCAACCTGATTTCTCATGAAACAAAGCAAAGAAGAAATAGGGCAGCACCAATTGTTTTTTTATTAGCAAATTAATCGCTTAGAAAAAAAAATCCCACTGTATCAAGAAAAAAAGTCCTTAAGAGTCAAACTATTCATCTCAATTTCATCTGAATTATTATTTGAAAGGATTAAATCTGTTAAAGTGACACTTCTCAGCATTGCATACTGAGATAGCAAAGTTGCCTAACTTCATTATTTTTCTAAAATGTTCCTCCCTTCATCCTTTTAGTTTTTTTTTTTTTTCTTTTTAAGAAAAGAAAATATAAGGCTGGGCGTCATGGCTCATGCCTGCAATCTCAACACTTTTGGAGGCAGAGATGGGTGGATCACTTGAGCCCAGGAGTTTGAGACCAGCCTGGGCAACATGTCGAAACCCTGTCTCTACTTAAAAAAAAAAAAAAAAAAAAATTAGCCAGACTTGGTGGCACATGCCTGTCATCCCAACTATTGGAGAGGTTGAGGTAGGAAGATCACCTGACCCCGGGGAGGTTGAGGCTGCACAGTGAGCCATGATCACACCACTGTACCACTCCAACCTGAGCAAAGGAGGGAGACCCTGTTTCTCAAAGAAAAAACAAAAACAAAAACATATATATATATATATAAACAGACATCTGAGACCCGTTGGTTTGGCTATAGCCAGCAACACCCTTTACCAAAGAAGGACCCAGGGAAAATGAACCTACTGGAGAGTATGTCTTACCAAAACAGTCTTTCTTTTCAAAAATGAAATCATGATAATTAAGCTAAGTACGAGAACATTTTGGGGAGGTCCCAGTACAGAACAGGTTTCGTTTCTTAACTGTATCAGAAGTTGGGAAAAATAATGAAGAGGATTCTAGGTTTTGTATTTCACTTTACAGTGAACTCAACGGCAAATCTAGAAGCATCTTGTTTTGGTGCTCTAATTTACTAATGTTTATGGTTGGGAGAAAAATAATTACTTCAGCAAGATGGGGTTACAAAGAGTTCTGGACTTGGAATAAAGACGTGATTTCTAGTTGCCACCTCTGTCTCTAGGAAGAAACTAGGGAGAGAAAATGTGCGGTGTGTACACTTCCTCACCTTCATGCCATGCTCATGGCAGACATCACTAGTCGATTCAGTCTTTTATGCTTTTATGGCCCAGAATCTTCAACGCAAACCTCCAGGCAGCCACCTAACAAACTATAGACAGCAGGACAATTGAAATCTACTTGCCATCTCTAGACTAGGTGATCTTTAAGGTCCCTTTTAGCTCTAAGTTTCTATGATATGTTCTGCAAATTATTTTCATATTCTACCAGGAATCTACTGAGGACAAAACACATATGGACAAAGATGTTTTACGATGTTGCCATAGTAGGGGGAAAAGCATGGCTTAGTAAATTACTTTCATGTTTCAGTGATTAGAAAGTCTCCAGAACCAAAAACATGGTATGTTCTGGAACTAAGAAACTAACTGTTATCATAGCTGTGGCTATATATCAACTGCTCATCAATCTTGTTGCTCAACCCAAAATGACAATAGTCTCAGACAAGCCAATGTCAATTTATCAATTAAGTAGCTAAGACTGGTAACAGGTAACGTTATATATCACTTACATATTCCCTACGCCAAAGGATTTAAGGTACCTTTAAAAGATAAAAGGGAGGGAGGAGAATTTTAAAAATTACTGCTAGAAGAGAAGGAAAAATAAACAATGTGGGTATGCACAGCAGAAATGGGAATGATGTCTGCCCATCACTTAACCACTTATTCATAACAGATGGGCCGGCAGGCTGGCTCTAGGCCTCCAGCAGCCACAGTGACAACGGGAACCTAAGCAGTTGCACCATTCATGGGGGTCGCAAGATAAAGGAAAGCCAACTCTTCAAAAAATCGAACTCTGCAATCAGAGTGTTATTTCTCCCAAGGATCAAAACAACACACAGCAGACTAAAGAATATTTTTCTCTACTCTTTCATTCAACAGTCCCAGCAATGGTGTCACAGGGTTACTAGAGCCTCTGTCTGCAGAGGGTCCGGTGCTGCTAAAGTGAAATGCCGAAAAGGCTCACTCTGGTTCTCTGCTGGTTTGCCTTGCTCCAGACCCTCTGGAGTAGTATTTCCCAAACTGTGGTCCAAGGGACCTATGAAATGTTCCTAGGTGCTCTGTAGTCAAAGCTGTTTG